ATATACTCTTACAAAACCAAAACAGCAGCTATTAATGCTAACATTTGACCTCTTGACCTACACAACCAATGCGATCTATGTCCTCTCACATGCTCTATAGCTGCGCCTGCAGCAAACAACACACAACACTCCAACAAGACACTGAGCCTGGTTCAGTGCAACAGCTCGAGTGTATAGGGTCATACGAGATTGTTTTCACAATGGATCTTGAGCTAAACATAACCCAGACTAATCATCCAAATTACGACCTAATGACCTGTGTGTCCTGGCAAACCAAACAGGACAGACTGCACTTTCTTTAGTCAGGGCGTGAGGTCAGGTCAGGTTGTGAAGCTCCTATTGCACATATGATATTGTGAAAAGATTTTATCAAGAATGTCAACCATACATGTAGGTATAACCCCAACCTCAGCGGAAAAATCCTCACTTCAGTGGTTACCTTGCCCTTCAGCAGCACAGCACAAACATGCAGTCATAAGACTGAGAATTAACCTCCACAAGCAAATCACCAACCCCAGAGCAGGACTTCTTTATTTTATCTCAGTGTTCTTTCGGTCACACTAGGTTAGACCCAGACAAACATGGATTTCTATTACAACATTTTAATTTAGACAAACTATTCGAATAGGACACCATTTCTTGTTCTGAATGCACAAAAAAAAAAAAGATTCTGAATCTGACTTGATGAGCTGAAGTCAAACCCATAGTAAAATTATTTTGATCCTCAACAGTGAATGGGTGCCGTCAGAATGAGTGTCCAAACAGCTTATAAAAACATAGCCAGGATCCACAGGTAATCCACACCACTCCAATCTAACACCTTGTGAATCGAAATGCTGCATGTTTGCAACAAACAAATCCATTATTTAGGAATTTTAACATTTAAACCAATAACTACAAGCCAAAATAAGAGTCAATAATCCATAACAAATAAATAGGTTTAAAAAAAAACAAAAAAACAATACTGACTGCTCATACTCACTGTAAAAACAGCAAGTGTGGCTTTATTGCTACAAGCCAAAATAAGAGTCAATAATCCATAACAAATAAATAGGTTTAAAAAAAACAAAAAAACAATACTGACTGCTCATACTCACTGTAAAAACAGCAAGTGTGGCTTTATTGTTTTAACAAATATTGTTAAACCACATTTTACTAAATGTAAAAAAAAAGAAAAAAAGAGTTATTAAATGTTAACCTAACACTCATTCATATGTATTAAAATACAAAAAAATCAATTAAATTTAAAGAACATGAGGCTGAAATTAAGGATTTATAATGCAGTTTGACCACTGTACATCAAAACTATGACAAAAACATTCGATAAATACTGTGTATTACATATTTTCCTAAGCAAAAGTATAGTAAAACAAAACTGAATCTTTTTTAAGCTCAAGTTATCCTAGGTTTAATTTCCTCAGCGAAACATCTTCAGCAGTCAGAGTGATGGTTCTGTGTCAGTCTTGTATGCCTCACACAATGAGCTATGCTATACTGAGATCATGCTGCTGCAGGCAACCACCACATGATAATATGAAATATAACCAAGCACTCATTCGTAAGCCTGTTGAAATATGTTATCTCGAAACTTATGTAATCCACTTATGGTGGAAAACAGAGCACAGAGCTCACAGAGAATTGATCTACTTGCACACACAGCCAAAATACATGCATAAATAATTTATGCACGCTGTCGTCTGCATTCTGTCTCTACCTGTAGCAAATTTTAGTCCACTGATGTATTTCTAATCATTAAGTCTTCATTCACAATAAACATTACTTCTCCCAGCATGCCCATTTAAAACACAATAGTAACATTAAAAGTACCAGTACTTCAGGTACAAACTCGATACTGAAAAAAAAATGCTTTTTAAAATACCCGCCTAATTTAAAAGTTAAAATTGATATTAATATGCTTGTTTTTAAATGAAGGCTAGTGTTAAAAAGTATATAACTTTTTGCTGTAGAAAAAAAAAAAAACTTAAAATGTCCCTGATACATACATTTGCCATCCAAACTGGCATCATGGCAGATACTGAAGTAAAATCACTCGCTTCAATGGAATTCCTAGACAAAAACACTGAGCTGGTTTGGCTTAGTTCTCACACAAAGACAGGAAAAGGGAGATCTCCATGCTTCCTCTGTTTGTTTGCCATGTGGACATCCAGAGACAGTGCCAGACCACTAGAAACAGCGTTGCCTGGGCCAGAAACAAACACACGGAGACATTGTTCTTGATGCATACATCTGTTTGGCACCCCGCATAGAAAGGTGAATACGTGTAATGGTCAAGGCTCCACAAGAACGCTCATGACGCATTATGCAACTCAGTATTTTAAGACACATTGTGGTTAATCAAGACCATTGTTGTAGCATGTAGATGCACAGCATCAGAACTAAAACAAATTGCAACAGTCACTGCAGCAAATACTTCTACCACAACCACCGTGTTTCACATTATAGTAATAATAGAAATGGTAAACTGAAGCGCTTTCAAGAGCAACTCTTCTCGAAAAGGGAGCATCATTCTTCTAGTTATGAAACCACGGGGACTGACAGTTAACTGCCTTCCTCAGGGAACTACTACTTGGCAAGAGCGGAGTTTAGGTGCAGATCGAGAAGTCACATTATGAGACAATCTATCCGAATGTGCTGATCATAGAGCTGCACGATTATGACAAAAATTTTACATTGAATGATGTTTATACACTCTAAAAAATGCTGGGTTGTTTCAACCCAACTTTGGGTCAAATATGGACTAACCCAACTTTTGGATTAAAAATGTAATTAAAAAATTTAACCCAACAGCTGGGTTAGTCCATCTTTGACCCAAAGTTGGGTTGAAACAACCCAGCATTTTTTAGAGTGTATATGAGACAATCTATCCGAATGTGCTGATCATAGAGCTGCACGATTATGACAAAAATTTTACATTGAATGATGTTTATACACTCTAAAAAATGCTGGGTTGTTTCAACCCAACTTTGGGTCAAATATGGACTAACCCAACTTTTGGATTAAAAATGTAATTAAAAAATTTAACCCAACAGCTGGGTTAGTCCATCTTTGACCCAAAGTTGGGTTGAAACAACCCAGCATTTTTTAGAGTGTACCATTGTTTGATGCAACTGCATGCCGTATTTTTATATGAAAATAAACAAGCTGAAAACACTAAATGAAAAACTTTTAGTGCTTTTCTATAGTATTAAGCCTCAAATGTCAACTATACATCGGATTGGTTTCTTCTTTAAATTATAAAAAAGTAAAAATATGAATGGTATTAAAATGTTATACTAAAACTAAAATTAAAATAATGGGGAAAACCCTTAAAATAACATGAAGAAAGAAAAAAAACGCATCTTAAGCACGCAGAATAACATAAGTGGACTTTAAATGATTAATTGCCTCTTTGAACGATTACGTAATTGTAATCGAGATTAGCAATTAGATTAATTGTGCAGTCCTAGCTGATCATGTGTGGAAAATGACTGGTTCAGCTCTAGGGCCCCAGACTGCTGTCACCACAGCTCAAAACCACTGATGTACATCATTCACAAATAGCCTGTGCTTCACTTGGTCTGTGGAAAAACAGCTTTTAAAGGGGTCATATGATGCGATTTCAAGTTTTCCTTTGACTGAAAATACATCACCTTCATGTGACCACAACACACTGTAGTGTAAATACTAAAGCAACTCGATGTGCCCCAAACAACACCGAAGAACTACCTATATCACCTTGACAGTGCAAGCGTTTCACTGCATTAGTGACTAAAAATAGTTGGTGCAAACTAAAATACATTTAGGAGCAAATGTGCAAAAGTCCCAGTGTGTCCTTAAAAATTAAGAGCATCTTAAATGGTATAACAAAAATGTTAATTTTCATTTTGAAGTCTTAAATTTGGGAACGGAAAAACAGGAATCCTGATACAAGCCTGATAACTGAACTTCAAAAGGCTATGATTTCATTCAAAAATAAATGAATGCTTCATATCCAAAAATGAATCATTTAATCATTTTTTATTGTGGCCCTAAAGTGTTTTAACGTGCGCCTAGGTTTTTTAACTTAGGTGCACATGTACTCTTTGGGGAAAAAAGTAAGCATCAAGCCCTGTCAATCAATCGTTCTACCACAACAGGAGTTTTCAGCACTTTTTTTGGGCTACCAAACATGCAGTAACGCAGTAAATGTATGCAGTCACAAAACAGAGACCCTCTTCTTGATTACAAGAGGTCAAAGGAAGCACTTGAGACACATTTTAAATTCTTGGCTGACCATTTGTGATCAGATGACCACCTGAGATGGATATTAATTTCAGGTCCAAACAGGAGCTAATAAAATGAGAACAGCAAAATAGCTGATGATGCAGTGCTGAATAAATTAATCCAACTGTATGCTTTCTAGGAACAATCCACATCAGATTCTGTGGCAAGGTTTCACTGTCCTACTTAGTGCAGACACTTGCACTGCTGATCCAATTACCGTCTCTGAGCTGTCATGTGCTCAAACTCCCTGCGTGGCCAGACAGGAAGGACTCTCCCTGACTGTGAGACTATGTCAGAACACCACGATCACAAGAACAAAGGAGAGAAAGATTGACGAAGAGCATCCAATGACGAGAAACAATGATCTTCAACAGTGAAAGTTCTCAATATCGATTCCAAATGTACATATAATTAATAGGCCTATAAATAATTCCATAATTATTAAATACAGTCTGAAGCAGAAATATGACCTAGTGTATCTGTTCCAAATTTATTAGCCAATTTGCTGGAATAAAATACTTGATGTGTCTCACTTCAAACAAAGCTCCATCTGCCACAGTAACAGGCTAAAAAATAATTCATGGGTCATGTGAGGCTGCCCTCCAACAGTTAACACAATTAGCACCATTCACTGTGATATGTACACAACAACAGATCACTTGATCATTCCAAGAAATCATCAACAAAGTACGAACAGCTGTGAGCCATGACTATGTTCTGTTTGGAGTCATTTCTACCTTTGAGGGCGGGAAGCTTCTGCAGTTCCCGGTTCTTGCTGAGGTTGAAACGTGACGAACTCTGTCGACGCTCCTTCTTTACAATCTGAGGCCCACCAGAGTACTTAATTTTGTTGAGCTGAGTGGGAGGTGGAGTGCTGTTGCTCGGACGCTTGCTGGCTGTCTGCTGGGCCTGGAGAAACACACAAAAAAAAACAATATTTTTGCTCTGCTTTCTCGGAAGAGAAAGACTATAAATTTTAAATGTGTGTAATGTGTGTAAGCAAATGGTCAACTTTAGGAGTCTCCTAGCATATAAATTACTTTAAAGATAATACAGTAAATACAGTAAATTATATTTATTGGGTCTTTAAAACGTCTGACTTCATTGTCTATAAATGCACCAGTTCAATTTCTGGGTATTTCTCTAGATCAACAGGTATCTTCTTCAATGCCTTGAATATCAGTCAGTCGGTTTCGTTTGCACTTTTATATAAATATTAAAACTTGTTCTTACATATCTGCATTATACATCATAACTGATTTACAATGCTATTAGAAAGCACTACCAAACAACAATATCAATTTATGTCAGCTAGCTGCATTACACCTCACTTGGAATGTAATATTGAGTTTTATTAACAGAAATAATTGAGAAAAACAGCTTCATGTGAGATGTGGGACAATCTTTATGTCTTAAGTACTATTCACACCCAGTGAAAAAAAGTGAGGCATCTAAAGGGGGAAAAAAAATACTCCTTATTTTAAGAAATGAATTTCAGGCCAGGCCTTGTTTGTAATAAGAAAAGGATATGATAAAATAAGGGAGAGCAGAAAGATGGTCATTAATAATGAAGACTTTGCGGCATTATTCTTTTTTCTCACATTGGACACATTACTTAGGAAAGAGCTTAGGATATTTACAATAAATGATATTTTGACATCTACAGTGAGCCTCTGTTGACGTAAATATTACCACATTTACACTCAATTGTCAAGTCTAGCATAAATGTCTCATTGTACAAAACTTTTTAGTTTTATCCGATGGCAAAACATTGTATAAAATCCATGCAACCACTGAGAACTGCTGTAACAAAGCAACTCACCACATCAGTCATCAATCTGCAAGCAAACTGCCTCCCTAACCCGTGGGAGTTGAAGTCCACAACTAACCTAACCTACATACCTCCTTATTACCATATCTAGAGTCAGCCCACATTAAACATTCATGAGTAGCCTGAGCTACACTATCAAATAAATATGCGTCTTCCATATAAAACGAGCGTCACAGAATCCGTTTTGACCATAGATGAGAAACACAGTATTACCGCTGTGGGACTGTCCCCAAAACTAAATCATGCAACATTTCTGTCCTTTTGTCAAATTGTATGATATGACCGCAGTGTGCAAAAGCCAAGGCAGATTATGCAACAACCACCAACTTTTATGACTGCGATATACATCTCAGCTAATGCAATATTTCTGACACAGCCTGAGCTTTGTGTGAGGCTAAGATTAATTGCAAAGGCAATTAATTGGCCGCCAGTGAGAATGTCACACTAAGCTATCCAAGACTGCCAATTTTGCCCCGTCTCTGAGCTGTCATGTGCTCAAACTCCCTGCGTGGCCAGACAGGAAGGACTCTCCCTGACTGTGAGACTATGTCAGAACACCACGATCACAAGAACAAAGGAGAGAAAGATTGACAAAGAGCATCCAATGACGAGAAACAATGATCTTCAACAGTGAAAGTTCTCAATATCGATTCCAAATGTACATATAATTAATAGGCCTATAAATAATTCCATAATTATTAAATACAGTCTGAAGCAGAAATATGACCTAGTGTATCTGTTCCAAATTTATTAGCCAATTTGCTGGAATAAAATACTTGATGTGTCTCACTTCAAACAAAGCTCCATCTGCCACAGTAACAGGCTAAAAAATAATTCATGGGTCATGTGAGGCTGCCCTCCAACAGTTAACACAATTAGCACCATTCACTGTGATATGTACACAACAACAGATCACTTGATCATTCCAAGAAATCATCAACAAAGTACGAACAGCTGTGAGCCATGACTATGTTCTGTTTGGAGTCATTTCTACCTTTGAGGGCGGGAAGCTTCTGCAGTTCCCGGTTCTTGCTGAGGTTGAAACGTGACGAACTCTGTCGACGCTCCTTCTTTACAATCTGAGGCCCACCAGAGTACTTAATTTTGTTGAGCTGAGTGGGAGGTGGAGTGCTGTTGCTCGGACGCTTGCTGGCTGTCTGCTGGGCCTGGAGAAACACACAAAAAAAAACACATTATGCCGTTCTATGCCATGGCACCACTTTTGGTCACAGAAGGTCAGACTCCAGTGTCTTCCTGCTGATGGCAAACACAATAGAAGAGACAAAATACAGCGACCAAAGAGGAAAAAGGCAATCCTGCTGATCAGATGCAGGGGACATACTCATTCTGGAAAGCATTTTATTGGAGAAATATTTGGATACACCCATCAGTGCTAGATGAGTCATCAATATTTTTGCTCTGCTTTCTCGGAAGAGAAAGACTATAAATTTTAAATGTGTGTATCTACTAAAAGCAAATGGTCAACTTTAGGAGTCTCCTAGCATATAAATTACTTTAAAGATAATACAGTAAAAACTATAAATTATATTTATTGGGTCTTTAAAACGTCTGACTTCATTGTCTATAAATGCACCAGTTCAATTTCTGGGTATTTCTCTAGATCAACAGGTATCTTCTTCAATGCCTTGAATATCAGTCAGTCGGTTTCGTTTGCACTTTTATATAAATATTAAAACTTGTTCTTACATATCTGCATTATACATCATAACTGATTTACAATGCTATTAGAAAGCACTACCAAACAACAATATCAATTTATGTCAGCTAGCTGCATTACACCTCACTTGGAATGTAATATTGAGTTTTATTAACAGAAATAATTGAGAAAAACAGCTTCATGTGAGATGTGGGACAATCTTTATGTCTTAAGTACTATTCACACCCAGTGAAAAAAAGTGAGGCATCTAAAGGGGGAAAAAAAATACTCCTTATTTTAAGAAATGAATTTCAGGCCAGGCCTTGTTTGTAATAAGAAAAGGATATGATAAAATAAGGGAGAGCAGAAAGATGGTCATTAATAATGAAGACTTTGCGGCATTATTCTTTTTTCTCACATTGGACACATTACTTAGGAAAGAGCTTAGGATATTTACAATAAATGATATTTTGACATCTACAGTGAGCCTCTGTTGACGTAAATATTACCACATTTACACTCAATTGTCAAGTCTAGCATAAATGTCTCATTGTACAAAACTTTTTAGTTTTATCCGATGGCAAAACATTGTATAAAATCCATGCAACCACTGAGAACTGCTGTAACAAAGCAACTCACCACATCAGTCATCAATCTGCAAGCAAACTGCCTCCCTAACCCGTGGGAGTTGAAGTCCACAACTAACCTAACCTACATACCTCCTTATTACCATATCTAGAGTCAGCCCACCTTAAACATTCATGAGTAGCCTGAGCTACACTATCAAATAAATATGCGTCTTCCATATAAAACGAGCGTCACAGAATCCGTTTTGACCATAGATGAGAAACACAGTATTACCGCTGTGGGACTGTCCCCAAAACTAAATCATGCAACATTTCTGTCCTTTTGTCAAATTGTATGATATGACCGCAGTGTGCAAAAGCCAAGGCAGATTATGCAACAACCACCAACTTTTATGACTGCGATATACATCTCAGCTAATGCAATATTTCTGACACAGCCTGAGCTTTGTGTGAGGCTAAGATTAATTGCAAAGGCAATTAATTGGCCGCCAGTGAGAATGTCACACTAAGCTATCCAAGACTGCCAATTTTGCCCTACGACAAAATAAAATCCCTGAAATTAGTCTCAGGCAGCATAACTGAGGCAAAAAATAATCACACAGTGTGCACCCGGCTTTAGAAGCACATTAAGAAACAAAGCTGATCTCTGGTTTATAGGAACACAGAATCAATGCTAACCCACAATGCATTACTAACACCATAGGTGAAGCAGTTCAAATAGCAGTAGAAATTGCTAAATGAGCAACATGTAAGCATGTGACGTTTCCAAAACAACTGAGCAACCTCATGGAAAAAAAGCTTTAACGTATTGAGGGTTTTTAATGAAGAAAAAGCAACACTGTCCAAGCAACAAATGGTATGTGTGTGTGTGTGTGCGTGAACAAACACATGTTGAGGCCTGCCCATAGCATTGCAAAGCTGGCCTCAGTCACAGGGGTTGCATGACTGAGCCTGACTTAAAATAGATCAAATCAATAAACTTCACCCGCTGCTACGTCACACTTTCTGCGCGCTGATTCCAGCCGTCAGTATCACGTTGATGAACACGGAGATATTTCAGTCCCAACAGGGTTTACGGAGACAAGCCATTACGTCAATACAACTGCACACTTAGAGGGATACAAGTCAATACGTAAACGCATACAAATTTAATTATCTCACAAATCACTACTGACGCAAGACGACAACAACACATTTCCCTTATCGCACGAATGCTTCTTTACTAGGGTCTAAAAAAACAAGTCTGACTGGATGTGGATGCCAAAGCAACCAAAAACAGAACAATGCAAAAAGTACTAGTAAACTGTAGTTAAAAAAAACATAAGACTACCTTTCATGAACCAAGCTGAAATATTAATGTAGACAACATATTTATATAATTTGTTAAATAAAAATTATAGTCACCTATTCTCACCTCTCCAAACATTACATTAAAAAAAAGGATAACAATATTGTATTTGGGGCAACTGTGATGCAATGTTCGAAGCAATATTTGAATGCAATACAATTAAACATTTTAAAGCAATACTTGCCTGATCCATACCCCTGTCACAAAATGAAGCACGACTTGGAGACGTAAAAGGAGGGACAGAAAAATATAGTTTAAGCTGCTGCTATTAGATTTAATAACACACAGACAGACCTACAGTCTAGGCTCATTTTGAGAGGGGATTTGCATTGCTTTATGCAGGAGAATAAAGAACCGCTTTAAGAGCCACTTCAATCTTGGTTATTTAATAAAGCCGAAATTGAAATGAGGGTTTGTCTGGAAGCAAGGTAACTTAGATATCAAGGGCTTTACCCATCCATCCTCAGCATGATACACTTCAGACTTGTGAGTTTGACAAGCTAAACGTGCAACTGTATGTAACACAGAGTTGCAAAAACACAAGCAGAGCCAAACGGAAGTGCAGTGATTACTGTGCATAATGAACGTAATGGACATAATGAATGATTTTAGCCTTCTTGTGCCCTGAGGAATGAAAAAGGCCAGCTACAACACTTAGCAAGCAAGTATTTGTGTCAAGTCCACTAGTCAAACACAGTATGAGATCTTTACCTCTTCTGAATTTTCAGTCCCAGCATCCTTTCCGCCACCGGCATTACTGTTTTTCGTGCTGCTTTTTGCAGATTTGGTTGGTTCCTGTAATGACCACAAAAGAACCAATAAATGAACATCTGAGTCATAAATCAAAGGAGGCTCCTATTATTTTGATCACTCCTTTTATCTTGGGGATGGGTCTCTGCATACAAGGACTGGTATGACAGGTGATGGCCAACAGCAGCCCAATTGCAACTAGATTTTGAATCAGACAATGACATTCACAAAACATTGACTGCTTTCTGGGAATGATAAATGATTTGAGTTCACACCGTGGACTCCAGCATCATATACACAGTAACAAACTTGTCCGCTAATATATCGAGCGTTTATATAACGATGCCCAAAGCCCATCCACAGCTTGTCCGCTGAAACATTGACTCATGCAGGGACAGGAGAACATGTTTGAGTGTCCAGCTTATGCTGCAATCTGTCAACTAATGCGCCTCTATTCACATATTAACGGCCGATCATAATCTTACTATAGAAAACTGACCTGTAATGCAAACACCGGGTAAAACAGCTATCGAACAGCACTCTTTCAAACATACATGATTCATATTTTAAATTCCCGTCACGTTGAGCTAAAGAAAACGCGTTTTTGTCATTTAAAAAAAAAAACTGTCAGTATTTTGACTTGAGACACACAAGCACAAATGCGCCCTTAGCGGGCTAGCGCGGCCTTCACTTACAAAAAAACAGCGCCAGTAAATGTTGGAGAATAATTGTTTTACCAACAGAATTCTCGGACGCATTAAGTAGACATGTGTTATGGTTGTAATCTGTACTTTACCTTCTCTTTTTTAGTTTTATTCGGCATTTTGCAAATGTTGTCTTCAGCCGTGCCTCCGTGATAAGGCTTCCCTCGCACTCACTCAGACTGTTACCTCGCCCGCCCTTCACCAGCTTCACCAGCAACAATCTGATTGGTCAGCAAGGCACGAAACTAGATAGCAACAGTACAGCGGAATTTTTCTATTGGCTGCTTTTCGAACCAGACGGTCTTGAGTTTTCCAAACGGGGTCCTGGCTGCGACGAGGAAGGGGTCTACAGCTGTTGTTTACGGTTTAGCTATCTCTTGTGGAGGTGCAGATTGTCACAAGAGGAATTGATTGTGGGAGGGAGACTTGTGTTGGTGACACTGACCGTCAACATGTCAGAATAGGGTCATCCAGAGGTTTTGGTTGCATAAAGCAAAAGAGCTGGACCCTTTACACACTTTTATTTGTGAGTATTGATGCATTTGAGGATTCAGAATAATTGTCTCATCAGATAGACTGTACTACATTCAATGTATTAAGGGTATTATTCTTTATGATAGTCATTAAAAATCCCAAAAGCTGCATAGAGGACTGTTCCACTGTAATTTTCTTACAACATGGTTAAAATTCACCAAATGTGGGTCTTCTTACACTCTTCAGCTTAGAACTAGTGTTACAAATTATCCTTATCATTTCTGTAGGCATCTCATCAACCACGTATCTCATCTGTTTATATTTAGACACAGTACTGGTAATATATATATAACATCTATAGTGTATATTTTGTATTTTATCTAAAGAATTCATCATAAAAACGTCCATACAGAAGCATCTACTGCCATCTATTGGTACATTTTTCTCAAAACCATTTCGACAGGGATTATAGCCTATATATATTCATTAAATAATAAAAAAAAAAAAAAAAAAAAAAAAAAAAAGAGAGAGGGAGAACAGAAACAAGATTGCATTCACAAGCATTTATTTGAAGTACAGGAGATATAGATTTCATTATTTGTATTTACCTGTCATTAACTTCAGATTTCATATATTACTATTTTTTAACAAATTCATTAGTGAATAAATAAATATGGTGCTAAAGGATAGTTCACGACCAAAATGAAAATTAAATAATTAATGTCGTCTATTCAAACCCGTATGACTGGAAATTCTTCTAAACACAAAATAAGAAATAAAGTCCATGGACTTTAATTGTTTGAAGAAGAAGAAAAAAAGAGGCATTTTTCAAAAGATCTTTTGTATTCTACAGTCATGGCCAAACGTTTTGGCAGTGACGTAAATTTTGTGTTTTGCAAAGTTTGCTGCTTAAAGGGTTAGTTCACCCAAAAATGAAAATCAGCCCATAAATTACTCACCCTCAAGTCATCCTAGGTGTATATGACTTTCTTCTTTCAGACGAATCCAGTCAGTTATATTAAAAATTGTCTTTGATCTTTCAAGCTGTTTAATGGCACTCAGCGGGTGTTGCATGCATCAGTCCAAAAGAAGTTAAATAAAAAGCGCCCATCCATAAAAAAAGAGGTTATGAAGAACAATGGTCAACACTGTAAATCTTGATTCATATTTTTTTGCCAATAAAAACCTTTAAAACTTATATGCTTATCATTGTTTTTAAGTATACCATAGAATAGAAAAATAATCTACAAATACTGAAGCTGCAAACTTTGAAAAAACAAAAAAATATTGTCCATGACTGTACATAAGAAAGTTAAGCCTGTGTTATACTTTCCGCATGAGCAATCCAGACGAGTACACGGACGCGGACTACTTGTATTTATACTTCCGAAAGCATACGCTGATGGTCCGCTCCGCGGACGTGTTCCATACATGCGTAGTAGATCGGCTTGAACAATAAACAAACATGTGAACAAACAATTGGCCAGAGTTATTGCACATCTTTATATTGTTTTATCGACGGATTGTACAGGTTCGAGTAGCAACGGGCTTCTTCACACAGCCTGCGCATGCGCAGTAGCCTACTGACCGCGTGTACTTGTCCGCGTGGTCACAAAAAATGGGAGGCACGCGGATGTCCGTGCGGACTCTGCGCACACTCTCCGATTACGATTTTTACGTCACGCATACCATAGCGGACCCTAGCGGACTCGGAAAGTATAACACAGGCTTTAGCGATTCGGTATTGTACATGATGGTGAGTAAAATAATTTTCATGTTGGGGTCAACTATGCTTTTTCCTAGGCTATTTTTAAAACATACTCATAGTATGAGTTCTTCCATTGTACATGAATTATATTGATTAATTCACAATAAATTATCAAAACCAGTCAAGGCAGAAACACTTACCCTTCATGGTAAGCAGCAGCTTCATTTTGGCTGACGTTTTTTATTTCCTCCCTGGATGCGGATGTCAGCTGTAACATTACCATCATTAAAACACAGTATAAACCAATCAACCATATCTCCAGCAAATGCTTAAACAGCGGATTCCTAAATACATTAGTCTTATGGTTTAGTCTCTATCTATTTCATGCATATATGAAAAACTACTTTTATGTGTAATGCACAATTACAAATACAAGTAATACAAGTTCAGTAATCTCATGTTCAAGATGTTTACTAGAAGCAGGTACAGCATATTAGTTTTTAATTTGTAATAAAAACTAGCAATTTTACTTACATTCATATTTGATGTACATGCAAATAAATACACAGTGCAGTGTGCCTCATTCATGAAACACCAACATAATGAACTTGTATATAACGTTCATAAAACCATGCTCACGCAAACCGCTTCACTCAGTGTGGCAAAGTACCTAATAAAAAAGTTTTATGAACGATTTACACAGAAATCCGTTCTGCACCTGTTTTTATGAATGAGGCCCAATGTGTGCAAAATGTTACAAAAAAAGAATGCACAAGTCTAATACCAGCAGTAAAAAGCATATCAGTAAGAGGCAAAGACAGAAAGGGTTGCTGTGATTTATTTGAGCTAGCACAGAACATGTGCAATTACACCAACTATCTGTAGATGCTAAAGTAGCATGGTAGCAATGTGAAAATTATAACACAACATTAATTCCTTAAAAAAATTGAAACTGGAAAGAAAAGCCATCAATACGGAGTACAGTGTAATAAAAACTACGGAAGCCAAGCCTGACTTTTTCTGGCCAGAGTTGTGAATGCATGTGTCCTTGAAGCATGAACTCCTCACCATTTCTCTTCTCTGAGCCTGGATCTTTCTGGCTCCTGCATTAAAATATCTTCATTTATTTAAATGGAACGAACAGAGCAAATGGCTTTACAGACTTAAATGTTTAATACACATCACATTCATTATATGTTTTACATTACCTTTGGGAAAAAGGAATGATTTCTGCTGGAAACAAAATAAGGAAACAAGTAGCTCATCACCAGGTGCTTTTGACAAGATAGCAAAACTTTTACACATACTAAGGGTTCATTACTTGATGAAAGTTTTCATTTTCTTAGAGGGATTCCTTCCCCAGCACCCACTTCAGAATGAATGTTTTTCAGTCCACGTTTTCACTGGCATTACCTGCCAAAAGGTTAAGAATAGACATGAAACATTCTAACTGGATAAAGCAAATACAAAGAATACTTCAAAATCACTTATTTACATTCAGAGGTATCATGTACATCCCTAAACCTACTCTTTGAAGGTCCTTTACAAAGTCTCAAAATTGAATTCAAATGTATCCAAGTTTAGTTGCTCAGTGAAAGAACCAGGAAGGGGAGAGAATGACATGGGTTCCTCAGATTCCAGAGGGTTTTCCTGTTCATTATTTGTCTGCATTGTGTCCTGACTATCTACGTCCATCACAGTTATATCCCCCACAGAGATTTCAATAGATTTAAGAACTTGTTGATCGTCAAAATCTTCCTCTTTTGCATTATCTTCATTTGGAAGGTCAGGTTTTAAGATGGCATCCTCAAAGGCTTGTTCAAATTCTGAGTCCTCATTCTTGGGAGATTCCTCTCTCTGGGCAACATTCGACTCCTCATTCTTGGGGGGTTCTTCTGTCTGGGCAACCTCGAAGTCTTCGTTCTTGGGAGATTCTTCTCTCTGGGCAATATTGGAGTCCTCATTCTTGGGGGGTTCTTCTGTCTGGGCAACCTCGGAGTCTTCGTTCTTGGGAGATTCTTCTCTCTGGGCAAGATTTGAGTCCTCATTCTTGGTGTATTCTTCGCTCTGAGCGACTTCTGAGTCTTCGTTCTTGGGAGATTCTTCTCTCGGAGTAAGATCTGAGTCCTCATTCTTGGGGGGTTCTTCACTCTGGGCAATTTCTGAGTCTATGTTCTTGGGAGATTCTTCTCTCTGGGCAAGATCTGAGTCCTCATTCTTGGGGGGTTCTTCACTCTGGGCAATTTCTGAGTCTATGTTCTTGGGAGATTCTTCTCTCTGGGCAAGATCTGAGTCCTCATTCTTGGGGGGTTCTTCACTCTGGGCAAGATCTGAGTCCTCATTCTTGGGGGGTTCTTTGCTCTGGACAACTACCGAGTGTTCGTTCTTGGGAGATTCTTCTCTCTGAGCAAGATTTGAGTCCTCATTCTTGGTGTATTCTTCGCTCTGGGCGACTTCTGAGTCTTCGTTCTTGGGAGATTCTTCTCTCGGAGTAAGATCCGAGTCCTCATTCTTGGGGGGTTCTTCACTCTGGGCAATTTCTGAGTCTATGTTCTTGGGAGATTCTTCTCTCTGGGCAAGATCGGAGTCCTCATTCTTGGGGGGTTCTTCACTCTGGGCAATTTCTGAGTCTATGTTCTTGGGAGATTCTTCTATCTGGGCAAGATCTGAGTCCTCATTCTTGGGGACTTCTTTTTGGGCAACTCCTGACTCCTCGTTCTTGAGAGTTTCTTCTCTCATGGGAATTTTCAAGTCATCGTACTTAAGAGGTTCTTTGCTCTGGCAAACATCACTAACATTTTTGTCTTTATTGTTGGACTCTCTGCAGGTTGAACCACTGTCTTGAGGAGCAAATCCAGAGTTGTGTTTGTCACCAACACTGCCACTGACAGAGGTTTTAACTGCGGCACTGCCACTGTAGAAAATGTCAAACAAATCTTTTGCTTTTCCTGCTGCAAGAGTTGTCTTTGGCTTTACAGTTTTGGGAGGCAGGTCTCTGGCATTAGAAGAAAGCTGAGGAGGAGGACGAAGG